CCCGTGCAGTGCAATCCACGAATACACCCACTAAACTTCACAGCACTGGCTTCACTTCCGCGGTCAAGCTGGTTGACACTTCGTTCAAGCAATTGGACGACATTCACCCGCCCTCATCTCCAGACGCTCCTCCAGATCAGGATTTCTCAAATTGGTTCTCTGCCAAGATACCAGAAGGCGTATCGACCGGCTTCCAAACAGCGCGAGCAGTCCTCTCTGTAGCTCCACCCGCCGCCGACCCTAACCCACTGGATCCCGCTCTCGCTGCTCTCCCGACCTTCACGTCAACCCGCATCCTCTTCGAAGGCGAGCGCGGCCCGCCGGTGTCTCAGATCAACCCTGACGTGCCAACCATCGCGGGCTTCAGCCCCGCTATCAACTACGTACACAGTCTAGAGACCGGGACGACGCTCCATGACTGGGCGAAGCCGTCAGCTACTGCGCTCGCCCGCGCGGCGGCTCTGATGAAGACATGGACTGCACAGATGGACGACGACTTCACCGTCGAGCCACCCATCCCCGAACTTCCAGAGGTACGGCCGGCATTACGGACGCTGGAGCACTCGTTTGGACCGGGAGGTACTCCGGATAGTCCGAGCCCCGCTGGTGTAGGCTTCGCACGCGCGAGCGGCATGGCGGGTAAGCTTCCAGCACTCGGCCTTGGGAAGGGTAGCAAACCGTTCAAGCCGCCTCTGCTCACGCGCCCCAAACCTGCGACGGCGACACCCACGAAGCCAGTATATGTCAACTCGCCTCTCAATCCGAAAGCCGCTGCATCCACGTCCACCTCGATGCCAACGGCATTCGTGACGCCCACACGCCCAAAGATGTCGTCGTTCACTCCGATGGTGCCACGAGTGGGAGGCACGCCGAGCAAGGCTCTAGGATTAACTCCCCGTCGTCTGGGTTTCACTTCTGCTGTGGGGATGCCCAAATTTATCACGCCATTCAAGGCTGGCATGCGACCAGGGGAAGCAGGTCGTCTTGAGCTGGGACAGCAGGCCAAGGACACATCACAAGAGGCGAACATGACTGTAGTAGCGCCCCCTCGCCCTGCGTATTATAATAACAAGCCCACTGCGAAGACTACGTTCTTCAAAATCGGTTAGTCATCAGGTCCTAGCTCATTACAATGATTTGACACCATGCTATAGGAAAGCCTGCTGGTCGACAGACACTCGAATCAATTGGACTGAGACCACAGATGTATGACGAAGCAGAGTTGTCAAACATGATTGGGGAGTACGTGCTGTCAACTACCGTCGCTCGTTCCATCGCTCATCGGCCTTGTCTCAGAAACTATGACAGCCTAAAGCAAGTGACGCCCGACAATGCGCTCTTTTACCGGTTCCACTCTCGGTCCAGAGACAACGTACCATCGGAACCAAACCAGCTCCTTGGCACCGGTGCAGCTCTCGCAGATCTTCAAGACGCCGAGTGCGAACTTGCGACTCAGGAATGGGTGAACAACCATTGGTCCTTGATACTCTGGAAGCTAGCTGGGATGGTCTGCTTGCAGCCGCAGCTCGAGGCAGACCCAGCCACGCGCCGGTGGTGCTGGGATGAAGTTATCAACCAGCTCCTCTATAGGTACCTTTTTACCCCGAGGCTACTGACCAGCACTGACTCGGCCCCGCAGGTACGAGCGCGAGCTCAACTCGGGCAGCCGGCCCCCAATGCGACTCATCACGACGCATGACGCTCCGGCGACGTGCCCGATGGTGCTTTGTGTGACGAAGATCACCTGGCACGACGGCCCGCGCGACGATCATGGCAGTAGCACGGACCACTGGGCGGACGTCGAGATGACAGATGGGTGGTACCGCATCCGCGTCGCGGTTGACGATCCCATCGAGCGCGCCATCATGAAGAAGCACATCTGCCCCGGCAGGAAGCTCGCGGTCCAGAACGCAAGGGTGCGTGTCATGGTTGTGATGCGTACTAGCGGTGCTGACTCGGGTGTGGGTAGTTGTGCCATCAGGAGGGGCGCGAGCCCGCAGAGCCCCTCGAGGCGTACTTGCGGATGAACTTACAGATATGCGGGAACTCGTCCCATCTGGCTCCGTGGCATGCGAAACTAGGGTTCGTTGACCGCCCCTGGATGGCGACCCTCGACAGCCTAACGCCTGACGGCGGACTTGTAACGTTGGTAGACGTCATTGTTGACATGGCGAGTACGACTTGATCGGCGAGGATTCGATGTATGCTGATATGCAGTCCTCCTGGTAGGTATATCCCATCGCATATACGGAGTACACGACGACGAGCGAAGGGAAGAAGGCCTTCTACGGGACACTTGGTGAGAAGGAGGAACAGGAGGCTCAGGACAAGTGGACTGTGAGCTTAGAATGCTCTCCTGGTAGTAAACGACTAACTCTGTGCAGACCCAGCGCGAAGTGGCCTCGCAAAAGCTTCGCGATGCCCATGACCGTAAAATATACCACTGGATTGGATGGGCAGAGACATTTGAAGCGCGCGCAGGGTCCGATTGGAAGCCCACAGACGAGAATGAATACCGTACGTCTCCCATAGTCCCCTCATTAGAGGTATTGATTGGTGTTGCAGTATCCTCGAGCATGGAAGATCTGTGGATGAACCTTGTGGATGAGACCATAAGCCTTTCGCAAATCAAGCGAGACCTGACGACTGACCGTGCTGGCTGGCTTGCGTATCATGCTCGTCGTGATATCGAGAAGGCCAGTGAGAGCCTATCCGAGGAGATCGGGAAGGAACTCGATGTACGTCCACTCTTGTCATCGACCGATATATGGCTGAGGTATCGGAATCGCAGGCGGACTTCCCACCCCGCGACTCACGGAGCTTCCGAGTCATCGTCGTGAGAGACGCGCGATGGAACAAACGCGAGCCCTTCCGATCAGCGCAGATCTACATCTGGGACATACTCAACTTCGTGCAAACTGAGGGCGGCAAACCAGGACACTTCGACGTTGGAGAGAGGTACCTCGTACGTATCAGTACACTGTCTTCGTGGCGTCTTGTATAAGGCTCATTGTTAATAGGTCTCAAACCTCATGCCTTCACACAAGGGCGCATGGACCGATGCTATGGTGTACTTTGATAGCTTGAAGAACAGCAGATTCCAGCGCGTTAAATCCAGCCCAGCCCCTTGATATTTCACGCATTTGCCCCTGTAATCGCTATGTTGTGTTGTCGTGAATGCTCTGCTGTTCCAGTCTGATATGCATGACGTGTGGTGTATTAGTTCAATGTTGTACGAATAACATAGCATGATACAATGAGCGATCCAGAGTCCTCCTCTCACGCAGCACCTCCGACACCATACTTCCGAAGAGTAGCGTCCCGGTCGGGGAGGTCCTCACGGCCCATCACGACGACCGTCGCCTTCTTCGCCTGTTCAGGACTGAATATCCTCTGCGCGACGACGCGGAGAGACTCGGGGCTGACCGCGTCGATTTTGGCGCACATCTCGCTGACGGGGACCTTGCGGTTGTGCACGAGCACCTGGCGACCAAGGTCCTCGACCTCGATGGCGCGGCTTTCGAGCGCCATCATCAGACTGCTCTTGAGCTGGTTCTTCGCGCGCTGGAGCTCACCCTCGCTGATGGGTGTGTATAGCAGGAGCGAGAGCTGGTGCACGAGGTGCGGGAAGATCTGCGAGGGCGTGTTGCCGGACGAGTGGCTGCCCGTCACGGGCACGAAGGACACAAAGAGCCCGAAGAGCGACGAGTCGGTGTAGATGTGGTGGAAAGACGCGCAGTGGTCGATCTGCGGATAGTGGTTCAGGATATGCGTGTACAGCCGCGAGTACATGCCCTTGCCCGGGCCGCCCGCGGAGAAGCTGCCCCCACCCCCAAGCAGCACTTGTATTGTCGCGAGCGCGTAGACGTCGTCGTCGTGGATGCCGACGCCCTCGAAGGCGAGGTACACGTGGTTAAACTCGGACGAAGGGTCGTGGATGAAGCGCGAGCCGCCCGTGTACGTCGCAGCAGTGGAGTCCGGGATGAGGGAGGCGTCAGTGTTCAAAGGGTACAGGTATGAGGATGCTGCGCGGGTGAGCGACTTGAGCGGCGAGGATGTAGACGAGGAATGCAGAAGCTGCGATGGTACTTGCTGCGTCGAGCGTGATGACGAAGCGGACGAGGCTACGGAGGGTATGGGCTGTAATGACGAGAAGTGCTTGTCCACAAGTTCGACCAACTCCTCGTGCGCCATGCCTGCACCCGCTATGACCATACGCTCGGGGCGGAACCACTGCCTCATGAAACCCTTCATCGTCGCCTGGTCCATTGCGTCTATCCGGTGCTCCGGGCAGAGCAGCGGATTTCCAAGGGTCTTGCTATCGTACGCAACTTCGTGCAGGATCTCTGGAAGTATCATCTCCGGCTTTGCGCTCACCTCCCGAATCTCGTAGCGAGCTGCCTCTCGTTGTGCGTCGATCTCCTCCTGCAGAAAGGACGCGTGCAGTGTTGTATCTGCAATGAGTGAGAGGGCCAAGGGGGTCGCCTGGTGGAAATGCGACGACTGATACATGATGGACTCCCGAGAGGAAGAGCATAGGATCTGACCACCAAGCTTGTCAATAGCGTGTGCCATTTCCTCGTCCGACCGAGAGCTTGTAGTCTGCACATGGCTTGAGCAATGTAACAAGTAGCCGACGTTTTGTTACGCACCTTGAAGGCCATCCTGTCCAAAAAGTGGCTCACGCCCGCGGAAGACGGTGTCTCATAGCGAGAGCCCGCGTCGACATACAGGCCCACTGCCGAGAAGTGCCCAGGTGTTGATTCTGTCGCGACACGGATTTTATTTGGAAGAGTCGTGATCTTGACTAGTGGGCTGGTGTCTGCGTGCGCTGCATATCCTCTTTGTTGTCTCCGGAGGCTGCTGCGAATGAGTGAAGATGTTGCACGTCGCATCGAGGTGGTGGTCAGAAGAGGACCAGTCGCTGACACAGCGCTGGACGTGATCGTGCGGAATATGCTGTTGGCCCCAAGTGCAATATGTTGTGAAAGTTAGTCGCTGGCTTCATAGCTCAGTGGTTTAGAGCATTCGATTGCAGCGTGGCTGCGACGTGATATCGAAGGGTCCCGTGTTCGAGTCACGGTGAGGCCTGCTTTTTCCATAAATATCCTGTGTTCGAGTGATAGTGAAGCCTGATTGTTTTTCCATAAATGTAATGCGGCCGGGCCAGAGGTTATTACATATGATTATGGTCGGACATGGCGGCTCGGAGAAGAGGGAACGGACGTCGGGGAACGGAGCACTCCCGAGAGAGCCAGCTCTCTTTCTTCCCCTTTGCTTTCTAACCGCCATGAGTGTAGCCAGTGTACTCTCGAACAGCACTCTTGCCCACGTCAACCCGCTCCATTTCTGGGGACCTGTCACCGCAACCCTCGACTGGTGCGAGGCGAGCCATTTACGACTTACGCTGATCTCCGGCCCGAGCTCATCACCGACGACCACAGGCAAACTACCAGTTCTCTAATTACATCGCAGAGTCTGCCAACACATTCTCGAACCTAGTCACGGTGGGCTTGGCTTCATGGGGCGCGTATCAGGCATACTCGCAGTCTCTGCCAGCACGATACTTCGTTGGCCAAGCGGTGAGTGTAGAATGTCTACTTGTCCATGATTGCACGCTAACTTGACGACTGCAAGGGCTTCGGACTCGTCGGGGTGGGCAGCATCATCTTCCACGCGACGCTTTTGTTCGAGGCCCAGCTCGCGGATGAGCTACCTATGATCTATGTCGCGTCCTACTGCTGTGCGATCCTTTTCGACACTGCGCGTGGATTCCAGCTGCGGGACTCGCCCGTCGTCCCCCTCGCTGTCGGTGTGACGACATTCAACATCCTGTTCACTTGGTCCTAGTGCGTCCCCTTTCCCACTCCTCCCCTCGGGCGCGTGCTATAAATGCTCTTTGACGCCCCGCGCAACAGCTACATCAGCCGCAATCCGGTCTACCACCAGATCGTATTCGCCATACTACTCGCCATCACTGGTGTGCGCACCGTCTACCTCCTGCGCGACCCCGAGATCGCGAAACGCGTCCCCGCTCATGTAAAGTCCACCGTCGCCCGCTTCTTTGGGGCCGGTGCTGCTACATTTGCGTTTGGCTTCTTCATCTGGAACCTGGACAACGTCTTCTGCGACACCATCACACGTTGGAAACATGCACTCGGCTGGCCTGCTGCGTTCATACTAGAGGGTGCGTATATCTCTCTTTAGCGGGGATATATCTGATCATCCGCACGTAGGTCATTCTTGGTGGCACATCCTCACAGTGAGCTTTGCGCAATCATCTATCCTGCATGTTATATTCACCCGCATCCGCACACAGGCTACTGGAACCTATCTGATGCTCGTCGGAAACACATGTAAGTGCACTCCCGCTCTACTGTCGTCCCGACCGCTCATCCGTCATCATGGCCAGATATGTGCGTCTCGGTTGGTGAGGGGGTGGCATTGCTCCCCCTCACTCTCTGTTGCATCATACGCTTTTGAACGGTTTGACTGACCCTTGGTTTACAGGACGCTGTGCATCAAGGACGATCACCGCAAGTTCGAGATTCGATCGAGCCTTGGCATCCCGCGCCTCCAGCGCGTTGACGGCGCGAAACAGAAGAACCAATAAGCGTTCGACATTTACATTCACACTCCAACTCGCGGCCCCGTGCAAGTACAACTTGCAATAGAGAGAACTCTCGAGGACGTCATGATGCACACTAACTATGACTTCACAAATATTTGCGCGCTCTGGTAGACGTCTGTTGAATCATGCCCATGTTTTGTCCATCTATTTATCGACAATGTACTGTGTAGTTTATAGCTCTTGTAGCTCTTGTTTTCGAGTACATGCATACTATATAGCTCAATGACAGTGCCATGCGTTAAACACACCTGAAGATATGTCGGAAGGGTGGACTTGATCGCGAATACAACTGCCGTACATCCCTTTAGCACTGTACCTCACAAGTCCTCACTTCTTATCGGATAGGGATAGCCCTTCACTGTGGTACGGAACGACACAAATCCAGTGCGCCGGCCGAAGACTAAAGCTCAGCCATATGGTCGAGGAGACCAACACGCCTATATCGTCTTGGATGTAGAACTTCTGTCGTGAGTCCTGTATCTGCATGAACATGAACAACTACAGTTTGCATAGGCGGGAATAGCACCGAGGAACTTCACGCAGATAACACTCTGATGTCATCTGGTTAGCCTACTGCCAGTCTCTGTGAGCCCGCTTCATATTGCGAGTACTTGCGATTTCATCTCGACGTATGGGCACTGATCTCTCCTCGCTTCGGAAGCGCACGACCAGTAGTAGGGGATGAGGGCTAGGCTGCAGGAGCACGCTTGGCGGCGTCTTTGGCGAGGCGGTCGGCGATAGTGTTGTACTTGCGGGGGATATACCAGAATCCAACGACGATGCCGTGTCTGGCCTCTGCGGCAACCGCCTCTTCATCGAGCTTCAGGAAGAGGTGTAGGTTGGCGGGGGTGCGCCCTTCGCTCGTGCGCATTCCATTCAACTAAGAAAAAAGAGCGCACATACTGATGTTTTAGAATGGGCCCAACGTAGTAGCTTTGCATTCGTACCTTCCACTTTGTCGGCAGCCAATTCGTCATCCCATCAACCACATACTTCGAGTCCGTCGCGGCAATCCAGTTGGAGGGTTTATCTGCGTTCCTTCTTTTGGCCCAGTCGGCAGGATGCAACTCTCCGGCGTCTTTGAGGGAGCCCAGCGCGCGTAGTCCGAAGATGGCGGCAAGCAGCTCCGCGCGCTGACTGGACCTCTTTGCCGCCAGTTCGACGGTATCGTCCACGGGTAGGGACATTTGAAGACGGGGGACCATCCCCATGGCAATGCCTAAGCCAGATGTTGCATAGGATGCTCCGTTTGTGTGGCAGGCACCATCCGTGAATACAAGACGGTAGCCGTGGCAGGGGCGTGATTGAGGCCTGATTTTGTGGCGATGCTGGCAGCAGAGAGAAACGAAGCACGAGCAATCGGGACAGACTTTGATGAGTTCGGCCGTAGAGAAGTCCCGCTGTAAGCAGTCACAGAGAATGTACTGTCGATGAGCACAGACATGGTGCCAAGAACGCAAGTAGGGGAGGAGCCCATCGCAAGGGGTGGTCACAGGTAGGCAGCAGTGGGAACAGCAAAGCAAGCTATTATATAGTGGGCAGAGGTAGGCAGAACAGCATCCACTCTAGCAAGGCGCTGATATCGGGATGAACCGTGACTAACAAAACAGTGCGCCCGAATGCCAGGGCCAACTTGTTACGACTCCTCTAGAGCAAACCGATTTGCTACCCCAAGTGACAGCTACAGTACTTGCGATGTATCACTCACATTGCTGGCACAGTCCGATGTCGTTGGGATGATGGACAAATGCACCCGCGCACCGTAACACCTATCAGCACAAGCGGTAGTATGCGGTACATGACATCAAGCATACTGATTAGGTTACGTCTTCCAGCGGAGACCCCGTTTCGGGACTTGAGAGGTTGCTACAAAGCTTGCCGCAAGCCGCAAGCCTCGAATGGATTCCATGTGCGACTTGTCAATACGCATCACTTCTCATACTGACTCTATGTTGATAGGTCACCAACACAGAAATATTGTGCAGATACGCCACAGTCATTCCGTATCCTACTTGACGAGATGACGAAGATCCCCGGCACAGTGGTCACCGGAGCCGACGCTCAGAGCCACGCCGGAACTGGTGACGATGACCCTAGGTTCGTGCGATCAGAGTTGCTCCCAGATGCCGCAACAAGTAATCACGGTTACACTCAGCTTGCACATCGTCACACTCTTCGCGGCGATTTGGATCGATTTATCGTATCGCGCAACCTTGGTAGCGAACATGCGTGCAAGCGCAGAAACACTTTCGCACTTCGTCAACCTCTTAATCATCGATACTACCAATCTCATGGACGCTATGGTGGGCGGCCTGGCCCAGGTTCACGCGCTCCAACAAGCGATGGTGGATACGGAAGGTTGGAACGCGCAACCCCCGCAGGATCGCCATGATCGCGAGAACGCGCTCTCCACACTTCAATTGCACATGCACCACGACGTCCGCCTAGCCAATCATGCCCTCGAGGTGCTCATCGCGTTCACGGGAGAGATCAAGGAGCCGTTCCTTGCGCCAGACATCGCTGAGCGGCTCGCGGCGATGCTGAACCACATCCTCGACTCTCTTGCCGGTCCAACCTGTCAAAACCTTAGCGTAAGGGACCCAGAGAAGTATCAGTGGAACCCGAAGGCGACGCTCGGCAGCGTGGTCGACGTGTATTTCAACCTCAGTGGGGAAGACCAGTTCGTGCGCGCTGTTGCAGCAGATAGGGAGAGCTATCGCAAGGAGCTCTTTGAGCGTGTTTATGGGATAGCAAAGAGACGACACATTCGGAGCGACGCGGTGCTCGAGGCGTTGCTCGTGTTTGTATCTAGGGTGGAAAAGCAGAGGCTTGAAGCTGACCCATACGACATTCCTGGTAAGTGATATCGAATTGTTCTTTACGAAACTATCCCTGAGAGCCTGTTGACATAGATGTTCATATGGACTGATACTTCTCTGCTATCTGCATATGACGTGCTTAGGCGTCCACACTGGTGGGAGGAGGAGGAGGAATCCATTTAGCCACCGACCGTAGGCGGGACTCAGAAGATTATATCTGCGTTGGGATGCTTGAGGCATAGAAGTTGACGCTCCGAGTCACAGAGATTTCGAGCGCATCTAAAGCCTGAAGCGATGTCAGTCGAAGTCACCCGGTGAGTGCACATTTGGTGCTGGTATGAGTTTCCGCGGCTTTACTGGTGCGGTCTGATACGAAACGTCACCGTTTGGCGCGGTGGACATACATATATTACCCCGGCGATGAAGCCAGAAGCTCGTTGGCGAAATGTAAAGCTCTCACCGACAGAGGAACATCCACATCATACGGGAATATTATAAGATCCGGCAGCTAACTATGATGCAGAGGTGATAGCACTGACGGTGACATTCACATATGTGTATGATATACTATACTATCAGAAGCTTTGGTCTGGTCAATTTAGGTTGTCTTTCTTGGCTTTCGTCTTCCCCGAGCATCCTAC